GAGTGCCTGGGGATCTCCTCCTGCCCCCTCCCTTCTCCCACATGTTCTTGCCTCCTCCTTCTCCTCCTGCCTGCTCCTTCTCCTGCCTCAACCCCTGCCTCCTCCTCCTCCTCCTCATCCTCCTCCTCCTCCTCCTCCTCCTCCTTCCCTCCTCCACCACCTCCTCATTTTCCTCCACCTCCTTTTCCCTCTCCCTCCTCCTCGTCCTCCTCCTCCTCCTCCTCCTCCTCGTCCTCCTCCTGCCTCCTCCTTTGGCCTCCTGCCTCCTGGAGCCTCCTGGGGCCTCTTGGGGCCTCCTGCCTCCTGGATCCTTCTCCCGTCCCCCTCCTCTTCCTTTCCCTCCCCATCCTCCTCCTCTCCCTGTCCCTCTGCCTCCTCCTTTTCGTTTCCATCTTCCTCCCCCTCCTCCTCCTCCCTCCTCCTCCTCCTCCTCCTCCTCCCTCCTCCGCCTGCCTCCTCCTTTGGCCTCCTGCCTCCTGGGGCCTCCTAGGGCCTCTTGGGGCCTCCTGGAGCCTTCTGGGCCTCCGGGGACTTCCTGGGACCTCCTAGGGCATTCCTCCTTTCCTCCTCCTCCTCCTCCTCCTCCCCCTTCTCCTCCTCCTCCTCCTCCTCCTCCACCTCCCTCCTCTTCTTCCTCCTCTTCTTCCTCCTTCCTCCTCCTCCTCCCTCCTCCTCCTCCTCCTCCTCCTCATTGTCCTGATTCCCCTCTGCTCTTCCTCGTCCTCCTTCTCTGTCTCGTCCTGCATCCTTCTCCTCTCCTTCTTCTTCCTCCTCCTCCTTTTCCTCATTCTCTTCCTGGTGCGGAGCACGACCTAGAGGAACGCGCGACGTGCGTCCAAGCGGCGACGCGCTGGAGGACGACCCAGAGGAAACGCGCGCCGGTGGACGACCCGGAAAAAGGACGTTTGCTGCGGGCCCCATAGGGAGGGGTCTCCCGCCTGAGATTTCCTCGCAATTCATTCTTCCCGCCTGATACTTCTCCCAGGTTCATGCCTCAGCGCAAAAGTGACGACAGTCGCAGGAGGCCGATGACCCGTTCGGATTAATCACGTGAGCCGCGGGCCCCATAGGGAGGTGGCTGCCGCCTGAGATTTCCTGGCAATTCACTCACAGACGAGGCTCCCGCATGATCCTCCATGTGCAGGCTTCAAGGCCCAAGCGTGACGACAGTTCCGGAGGCCGATGACTCGCTCAGATTGCCCACGTGAGTTGTGGGCCCCATGGGGAAGGGCCTCCCGCTTGAGACTTCCTCGCAATTCACTCACAAACGAAGCTCCCGCCTGATAGTTCCTTCCTCCATAGTCAGGCCTAAGGGGTCCAAAAGTGACGACAGTTGCAAGAGGCCGCTCACCCGTTCGGACTACTCACATGAGCTGCGGGCCCCATAAGGAGGGGGCTCCAGCCTGAGAAGTCCTTGTAATTTGCTCACAGACGAAGCTCCCGCCTAATATTTCGTCCATATTCATATCTCAGGCGGCCAAAATTGACGACAGTAACAGGAGGCCGATGATCCGCTTGGATTACTCATATGAGCTGCGGGCCCCAAAGGAGGGGGGCTCCCGCCTGAGACTTCTTCGCAATTCACTCACAGACGAGGCTTCCTCCTGATACGACCCGTTCAGATGAATGTGTGCGCGTGTGAGTGATGATGCCCATGTGAGTGATGATGACGATGTGAGTGATGATGGTGATGGTTGTGATGAGGGTGGTGGTGATGACGATGACGATGTGAGTGATGATGATGAGGGTGGTGGTCATGAGGATGTGAGTGATTAACTAGGTGAAGATGGTTATGATATAGTGATTGATGATGAGGAGGTTTATGGTGTTATGATGGTGGTGGTGTGCGAATCCTTGAGTGCAGACGATGATGATAATGCTGATGCAGACGATGATGTATGCGAGTGAGTGGGTGGTGGATGGTGAGTGAGAGTGTGGGTAAAAGAAGTGATGATGCTGAGTGAATGTGAGTGTGTGGGCGAGTGAGCAAGTGTGTCGGTGATGATGATGTGGTGGTGACGATGTGGTGATGAGAGTGCGTGCGTGTGTGGGTGAGTGTGTGAGTGTGTGTGGTGAGTGAGTGAGTGAGTGAGTGAGTGACTGAGTGAGTGAGTGAGTGAGAAGAGAGGGGGTGTTCCTGTGTTCCTGCGCGGGGTGTCCAAAGAAAACAGGAGCCCCTTTGTGGATGTAGGAAGTAATCATACACATATTTAGAATCGGCAGCATACGAGGTCTAACGATAACACTCCTAATCCGAAGAAGAATGAGCGGAACAACCACATTTGTAATGATATTGCTAGGAACCTAGCAATCAGCATCCTCATGATCATAATGCGATGAAGAAAAGGGGGACACGTGTTAAGTTGTTGTTGTTCTTTTGGGAGGGGCTCTTGGGGTCCTGAGGGGCAGACTGGCTTGGCCATTGGCTCGACAGACGGGCAAGGGCGGCGTCTTGGAGGGGTCCAGGGGTGGGTCTGAAGAGCCATGGATGGGCCCGCCCGCCCCTCCCCTCCCTCTCGATCGGCTTCATGTTCCCCCGCTCGTTTCCCACCAACTGCCATCCTCCCATGGTTGCCCCTCGTCTCCTTGTGGTCGCTTGAGCCTGACTCCTGCCTCTCTGGAGGCAGGCCCATACAGCATCCATCATTTCCTTTCTGGTCGTTTGGTGGTGGCCAGAGCTTGGTCAGGCTTGAGCCCCTCAGCGTCGCTCTCCTCCCTGCAGTTGTGCAGGCTCACCTTCGACCTGCGAGGGTCCAACCAATTAGCCCGTCCCCTTTCAATCTGCTCCCTCTCTTTCCCCCGCCTCCCGTTAGAGTGTGGAGTCAGAAGCAGGGCCACCGCTTGGCGGATCTGGGACCTCGGCATGCGGTGGATCTGGAGATAGTTGGGCCCCAGGGGGCCCAGCTATGTCCATCTCCACCGCCCCCAGGCGGTTGATATGGAGAACTCCCCGCCCCGCGTGGGGGACGGGGAAGTGGCGCTCGCAGCATCACCGCGTCTCGTGCGGAGCCTCCTCGACATTGTTTGCTTCTCCTCTGCCTCCTGAGGCTCGGCCCCGCCACCGCTTCCCCATGTGATCCGGTCCGAGGCTCCCTGGGCGTACTGAACGCAAGAAGCCCCTCGGGGCGCATCTGTGGGCAGTTTCGGCCTCCAGGGGCCGTTCTCGCACCCTGAAGAGCCACCCAGCATCTGCCCGTGGAAACCGGTTCTGGGGCCTAATTTTACCATCTTGGACCCTCTTGGGGGCACCTTGGACCCTCTTGGACCCTCTTGGAGGCACCCTCCTGGAGCCGCGTTGGGATCACCTTGGGTCGTCTCGGAGGCATCCTCCGCGGACGCGGGTAGTCACGGGTGAGGCAGCCGCGGGTGTTGCAGAGGAATTGGCCGCCGCAGGTGGCTGCCCCGCCGCATTGGTCAGTCGAGTGCCGGAGGCTGTCCGCGCGTTGTTCCTTCAACGCTTGAGGGTCGATGTGTGTTCTTGGTCTACTACAGTGAGCACATCAAATCAGGAACCCTCCTGCCACCAGGTTCCCAGCGAGGTGTCTTGCTCTCTGGTGCCCCTCGGGGAACACTTGAAATGTGGAGCACCTCGCGAAGCTCAAAGCCAATGGAACCTGTTTTCCCCACATGGCTTCCAGCAAGGCTTCTTTCGTTCGAGGAAAAACGTCTAGCACATCGCTTCGGGGAGAGGGCGCTGCCGCTCCGATCCTCGATCTGGACTCCCATGGCGTTCCGCTTTGTGTCGCTGGCCAGCGCTCGTCCGCAGGCTCCAGCTCGGGACCTGTGTCGACGCTGAGCGGAGGGCGGCTGCGGCAAAATGGCCCTGGCAAAGCTGAACAGCTGACGGCGGCGGGTGTCTAGGCGCCATGCTTCCCTGGCCACAGGGCCGACTGCCGGGAGCCGTGCAGAGCTGGTGAGGCGCCATAAAAGCCTGTACCTCCTCTGGGGAACGCAGCTCCTGCTGGTCCGCGCGCGGTCGGAGAGGCTCTGCAGCGGGCTCTCCATGATGGCGGCCAGCGCGCGGGCGTTCCGGCGGAGCCACGGGGAGTGTGCCATCGAGGGTGTCGAAGTGCAGGCCTGCTCGAGCTGCACCGCTTGAACCTGGTCGCCGGCAAGGAGCCCACTAGAGCCGTCCGCACAGAGCACCCAGAGCCTACTGGCTCGCACAGCGCGCTCTTCCTTCCAGCTGGCTCCTGATCATGCTCCTTGCGCTTCTCCTCCGCCTCCGCCTCCTGGTCCTGATGCTGCTGCTGCTAATGCTGCCTATGCTCCACTAGTCTTTTGCTTCCCTCGTCCTCCCTCTCTCCTTTTACCACTCCTCTCTTCAACTTACCCCTAGGGTGCGTGTTTCACACGGATTGACACGGATTGCAAAGGGAACCGGGCCGTGTCGACGAGGAACCTCCTGGAAGCCCAACGAGGGCTTCAAACCTGCCCCTCCTCCCTCCCCTCTCCCTTCTCCTCCTCTGGGGGGGGGGGGGGCGGGATCTGCGCCCCACAAGGAGTCGAAGAAGGCTCTCGGAGAATGCGAGACCGCGGCCGCGAAGGCCGAGTCCTCAACGCACTCGGTGCCGCCACCCTTTTGGGCAGCCTAGGAGGAGGAGGAGGAGGAGGGGGAGGAGGAGAAGGAGAGGGGGAAATACGAGTGAGAGAAGGAGGAAGAGGGATCAACAGGATAATGAGGATAATGACCTCGGAGGAGGAGGAGGAGGAGCAGGACGATGAGGAGGGGAGTAGGAGTAGGATCGGAGGAGGAGCAGAAAGAAAAGGAGCGGGCGGGGGCGGAGACGAGGCAGGAGGGAGGAGGAAACGGAGGAGGAGGAGGAGGAGGAGGAGGAGAAGTATGCGGACGGGAGGAGGAGCAGAAGGAGGAGGACATGTGGGATGCTGATGGAGGTGATGATGCTGATGATGAGGATGATGATGATGAGGATGCTGATGATGAGGATGCTGATTATGGTACTGATGCTATTGCTGTTGCTGATGATGAGGAGGAGGATGAGGATGAGGATGCGGATACGGATGCTGCTGATGATGATTATGCTGATGATGGTGATGATGCTGATGATGATGATGATGATGGTGCTGATGATGCTGATGATGCTGATGATGATGGCGACACTGATGATGAAATTTATGATGATGCTGATGCTGCGGATGATGATGCTGGTGATGATGATGATGATGATGATGATGATGATGATGCTGATGATGATGATGATGATGATGATGATGCTGATGATGATGATGATGATGATGATGATGATGATGATGATGATGATGATGCTGACGCTGATGCTGATGCTGATACTGATGATGATAAGGATGTTGAAGAGGGAATGGGGATGGGGGTAGTAGAAGATAGTAGAGGGAACATGCAGGTGGGACGAACATGCGTACAATATTGGGGAGAGAGGATGCGGAGGTGGAGACGGAGGAGGAGAAGGAACAGCATGATAAGAAGGAGTTGGAGGAGGAACGGAAGGAGAAGAAAGGAGGGATGACGAAGCATGGAGGAGTGCTGAGGTATGTCAAAAACAAGCGGGCGGTGGATGCTGTGAAGGCAGATGAGGAAAATGCAGTGGAGGAGCGCGCGGGGAGAAAGATGGTGAGGCGGGGACGACGGAGGAGGAGGAGCAGGGGGCGGCGGATGATGAGGAGACATGACTGGGGAAGGCATGACGGATGGGACCCGGAAGAGGAAGCGAGGGGGAATGATACGACGAATCAGGATAAGTGTCTGAGGCGCGCGCGCGCTTGGGCGCTACACCCGCTGTCCCAACCGAGGGAGTCGTTGCAACGGTCGCGAGGTCTGCCCCAACATCCATCGTCCTCATCCCCCTCCCTCTGATCCACCTTGCCTCGTTCCTTTGTTCTTCCGCCATCTCCACTCCCCGATCTGTCCTCCTTGCTACCCCCTAACCCCTATCAGGCGCTTATTCCCCCAGGCAAAGCTAACGGATATCACATCTGTATTGGAGTAGGCCTTTATTTGGGGGGGGGGGGCGGGGGCTTGTCCTGGGCTTGTACAGGGCGCCAGATCAGAGCACGTTTTCTAAATCGTGTCGGGGTGAGGGCCGAGGACTAGTGGTGACCGCCCCAGAATGCCTCACATCGCTGACCCGACAGCTAGCCGACACCCCAGCATGCCAGAACGTTCCCAAAGCACGGCGACGGATCAGGACCAGGTGCGAATGCGGGTCGTCCAGAGGAGCCCGTAGGATGCGGACCCACTCCGCGTGGCCGCAGCCGTCCGTTCGACGCCGTAGCGGTGGGAGGGCGCCCGAGGCGCACCATGGCCGCAGTCTCCGCTCCTCCTGCTGGGGTGGCGGGAGGCGCTGTCCTTCCTGAAGCAGAAGGCGGATTCCAAGAGGTACAGCAAGGACGTGCAGAAGACGTTCGCCACGGACGGGTGGACGGTCATGGGGCCACGCAGGGAATGGAGGAGTTTGAGGAAGAGGACGAGGAGGAAGAGGAGGAGTACAGACCGGCCCGCATCAACAGCAACGGGGAGGAGGAGCTAGGATGAAGAGGAGGAGGAGGAGGAGGAGGAGAAGCCGGAGGAGCAGGAGGAGGAAGAGGAAGAGGAGGATTATGAAGTATGAGCACTATGATGAAAGAAGAAGCAGTGGCAGGAACCACGGCATGATCAGCAGCGGAAGCGGGAGCTGCCGTGGCAGCTGGACTGAGAGCGGGTTGGGAGGAGGGAGGCATGAAGGGAGGGGAGTGTCGGCGGAGCTGACCCAGGAAGCCCGCGCGGGCTTTCGATTTGTGCTCTGATGTCAGAAAGGAGCTTCTAATTGTCCAAGACAACCTCGACGGCCTGCGGCAACACCAGTGATCTCGCCGTATCGGCGGCCTTGGACGCGGAGATCCGGTAGAACGGAGAAGTGGACGACGATCTCGAAGAAGGGGGAACAAGGGTGAAGAGGGGAAGCAAGAAGAGCAACCGCGGGCCCTTCCATGTCCCTCGCTCGCTAAGCGTGCGCTCCACTGTTGCGGGGGCTGGGCTGCGAGTCAACCAGGCGGTGCATCAAACTTCTCTCATGGGGGGATGGCCGTCTACGCTACTTACCCTTTAGAGTCCACGGGCCCAGGCGTGGACGCATGCAGCATCACTGACGGCCTGTCTCGGGCGGGGCCTCCGACGGCAGCCACGCCCACTTTTGCGGGACGACAGAGCTTCCTCTTGAGGTGCGAGCCGCGACATTCCGTAACACAACCCCTGCCCCCGTCTAGTCCTTCGCGCGACGTGGGCGGGCCTCGGATCATGGGGACCTGATTTTTCGTGTCAGTCCCCCGTCCCAGGTGAACCTCATAAGCTTTCAGCGGGACGTACAGAAGGTCCACATGAAAAAGTGGGCTCCAAGCATTGCCCTTGGCATCGCTCGGACGTGTGCATTTTTTCTTCGGCGAGGACCATCCAGGAGCATCCTTGAGCATTTCACGAAAAAAAACACGCACGAAACCGAAAAAAACACAGGAAATGGACGTCCGAGCGATGGCCAGTGCCAGAACAAGCGAAGTCAGAGCCCCCGCGGGCTAGAGTCAGCTCCGCCGCAGTGCAGACCGGAGAACCAGACTCGGATCCGCGCGCCCGTCGTCCAGGCCCGCCGCGGCTCCACTTCGTGCACGTCGTGGCCGCACTTCAAGCCGTCCGTTCGAGGCCCAAGATCGGGGAAACGTAAGACTCGAGTAAGCCGGAACTCGGTTTGCCGACGTTTTTTGACGAGCGCGTTCTGGATTTTGACGGTCTGGATTTCGTGGGATGTTTGCAGCGGGAGCTCGCGTCAAATTCCAGATACAGGCTCGTCATTTTCATGATGGCCCCGTCAGGCCAACCCGAGTCCCCGTACCCGAGTCTTATGTCTCCCCGACAAGAGGAAGCCCTCCGTCCTGGGGACACATGCCGTCGGGTCGGAGCGCCAGATCGCCGAGGCGTCAGTCCCAGATGCAGCCGCCGACGGCGCCGCGTCAGCCCAGATGAGTCCCGGATGCAGCCCAGAGTGGATCAAATCAGACATTGGGGCGCCAATGATGGCAAAACAGCAAGGGCTGACAGATCTGAGATCGCGAAGGCCTTGCGGCCGGTGCCGCCGACCCTGAATGGCGACGACGACGACGACGAGCGCTCTCGGGGGCCTCTTGGGGGTATTTTGGGTGCCTCTTTGGAAGCTCTTGTGGGCCGCTTGGAAGCCTCGTGGGGGCCTCTTGGAGTCTCTGGGGGTCTCTTGGGGGCTTTTTGGGGCTTCTTGGGTGGCTTCTTAGGGACCTCTGGGGGCCTCCTGAGAGCTTCTCAGGCCGAGTGCTCGAAATGTTCGTTCGGGTCCCCCGTCTTGGCTCCTGCTTGGAGCCGTCTTGGGGGCCTCTTCGGCTGTCTTGGAGGCCTCTTGGTCGGTCTTGGGGCCCTCTTGGGTCGTTTTGGGGCTCTCTTGGACGCCTCTTGGGCCATCTTGGGGCGGTCTTGGGGGCTTCTTGGCCTGTCTTGGAGCGTCGGGAAGCTGACGCGGCGAGAATGCCGAAATCATTCAAAAACTTTCGGGGAATGCCTGATTTTTGCACCTCGGGACCGTCCGAAGTCCTTTTGGAGGCCTCCTGGGGCGTTTTGGAAACCTTTTGAACCGTCTGGAGGCTACTTTGGCGATTTGGACCGATACTTCGGCGATTCGGGGCCCTCGAGGACCGTCTTCGGAGCATCTTGGGGTAGTTTTGCCGCGTCCTGCGGCTTTTCTTGGCCGTCCAGTTGCCAATGATGTCAAAATAACAACGGGTGACAGATTTGAGATTTGCGGATGACATATTACTTCTTGCGACCTCTCTACGACACGTGAAGAAGATGACCAGCGACTTGCAGGTCGCAGCGGAGGAGGTTGGATTGGTCTTGCACCCACAGAAAAAAACAGTACTCCACAAGAGCTTTGGCAGCACGCGTGAAGACCAGAACGCAGTAAGCAAGCATGGGCGTCAACGGCATGGATATCGGGATCTTACCAGTTTCCGGGCACACAACATATCTTGGTCGAGAATTCAGTTTCTGCTTCGCAGAGATTGGAAGGTGAGAACAGGTTTGTTGCATCTGGGAGAAGGTTCGTTTTTCTGAAACGGGAGCCTGTTGGACGCAAATGTTCTCTGAAAGACCGCATGCCGTTATTTCATGGTGTTATTGCGCCGACCTTGCTCTACGGTTGCGAAGCGTGGGCTATGACAGTGGAACTTGAAAATAGAGTTCGACGAACGCAAAGACACACGCTGATAATTATCATCCAGAAGCCACGTCGCACATAAGTACGTCAAGTTGAAGAAGAGATGGCAAACACAGCGACCAGCAGCGGCGACGACGTGGACAGCGATTGAGGAACAGATGAACAAGTAACCGGAGCAGAGTGCCTTCAGGAAGATTTGGAACCTTGGGTAGAGTGGATCAAACGCAGCACGAGAGAGGTGGAGGACTGCATAGAATCATTGCACATTGATGATTTGATCACGCAGCCGCTTCGAAGGACATGACCATGTTTCGCACAAGTTGCATGCAAAACGCCCGGAATCCGTATCAACACGTTGATTTATGTGCGATAAGACGCCTTCGCCTACCAAAGCGTCGCTGGATTGACGGCATGTTTCATGCCATTTCAAAGCGCAAGAATGTTGCTGCCAGAAGAGCAGACAACTTGTGCAGACGGACGTGAGGTGTGAGATGCCGTTCATCTACCCCTGAGGTTTGCCACGCGAGATGCGTGGAACGGTCTAGAGCAATATTTTTGGCCAGGCACTTTAATATGTAATGGGTGCTTCGGCTCCAACCCGTGGCACCTGCAGGGTGCGCAGTGCGGGTCGCAGTCGCAACCGCAGTCGCAGACGGCACCGCAGCGTCGATCGCAAGGTTGGAGATCGATCCCGGTCGCCACGGCGATCGACTGGCGGCCTGCGATGGCACCAATCGGCGCCGTCGTTTGGTCGGCTGGGTCGGAGGAGCCAGGCACTGGGCGCCAGTCACCAGCCACCCCGCAGAAAAAAAGGGGAGGGGACGTGCCCCCAGAGGCCAATTTCTGGTGGCGCTGGCCAGGCAGCAGTCGCCCGGCGTGCAAGAGGCGGCTGGCGACCCCGTGTCGGCCCTCATTCGGAATTTTGTCTGGGCGCATGTGGATTGGGAGGAGGAGTATCAGGAAACCGCCGGTGTCGAGTCCACCACCGACGCAGGCAAAGACGTCATCGTCCTGGCCGATATGACGCCGATGCCAGGACGAGCGGACCGAGCGAACTGTTTGGTTGAGAATTCATCTCTTCAGGCAGCAGTATCTGCGCAGAGCGTGGCCGGGAGTCGTGCGTAGACCGTACCACGTCTTGGACGCAGGCCGTCGCACCTCTGCAGTCAGAGATGCTTGCCGGGCCGCGCGCGGCCTACGCCAACAGCGGCCGCAGCGCCCACATATTGACCCCTCATCATCGCTCCTGCTCGTGCTCGCGCTGCTGCTCCCAGCCGCCCTCCTGCCCCTGCCCCTGATCCTCCCTCCTCCTGCTCCATGCTCCTGCTGCCGATCCGGCCCCCCCCCCTTTTCTCTGATGTCGGCCCTGGGAGGCAGATGCTGCCCACGGCAGCGGATGGGTGCTGGGCCGTCCTGCTGGCGGACGGGAATCCTTGGTTCAGGCTTGACGCCAAGAGGAGCGGGCAGATGTCTAACCCTTCGAGCCGAGTACACGTGAGCTGCACATTCTTATCCGGCGCAGCGCCGCGGCAGGCGGGACGCTCGCCTCCTTCCCCCTTCACGGGCCGTTCTCTCTCTCTCTCTCTCTCTCTCTTTTCTCTCTCTTTTTTTTTTGTTTTTGTTTTTTTTAACTCTCTCTCTCTCTCTCTCTCTCTTTCTCACTGATGCCGACCGTGGCCCCCCCCCCGTTCCTCCCCTGCCTCCTTTTCTGCTGCTCTCTTCTCCCTGCTGCGTCTTGCTGCGGACAGGTGGCGTTCGGAGTCGACGATCGCAGGTCTTAGGCCTTTCCTGGGGCATTTACACAGCACCCACACTCGAGAGCCAGGCTTGAATGTATGTTAACTCGGAGCGTGCCTATACCATAAAATCTTGATTTTAGAGTGCTGGGGGCAGGCGGGGGTAGAGCGACAACCCTAATCAAAAGAGGCCCCACAGAATATCCGACGCAGCAGCGGGAGAGAAAACCCCACAGGACAGCGAGCGGCTCGAGAGGAGGGGGCACCCTCCGAAAGTATCTGTTCGCAGCGGCGGGGCCCCGTGTGAGGCCCGAAACATAAAAGGCCGAGAGGTACCTGACCGTGCCTCGGCCCACGGTCGGGCCAAAAAGCCTCGCGGCGAAACCCCCGAGCTCATACAAGCCCAAGGGTGGGCAGGGTTGGGAGCCGAAACTTTGCGCCAGGGGAGGAGGGACAAGCACGAGAGAG